ATCTGTTCAAAAGTATTCTAAAAGTACTTTTTAATCAATACTTTTATTTATTAAGGATGCCTTAAATTGATTAAGCATGACATTAAAAATATATAATGTAAGAAAAGATTCACAAAAATATGAAGCAGCACAACTGTTTTCAACATTGATAATAAGAAATGTTTCTTCAGCATCAAATTGGCATATTAGAATGATTTCTGAAGACTGTATAATGGCTGCTGAATATTCAGCTATCACAAGAATAAATTACATTTTAAAATATATCAAACCAGAACACAGTTATTTTAAAGTGTGTTTTTGATCAAGTAAATTCAGGCTTGGAGACCATAAGATGCTTCTTTCAAAACCGTTTGAATGGTATTAAATTTAAATTCAAAATTTGCACATTCTTTACATTTTACTTTTCACTTTTTTTCTCTCCATTAAGAAGAACAAAAACTCTCCCTGATAGTTCCCTTAAAGAAGCACTGACAAAAGTCAGAGGATATAATACAGATAACTCTTTAATAGAGAGCCCATGAATGGAGAAGATATCAAATTTAGCTGTGAAACTACTCTGATTGTCCTGGAGGCAAACAGGGTTTGAGTTCACCATACCTTGCCAGCTCAGGAACCCAGCTTGGCATGAGAGATGTTTTGTTTCCTGTCTTAGCAGCTAGGACAATTAAGCTTGTGCCAGCTTTGTTGGCAATATGAAATGAGATCCGTACTGTTTTTCAACAGCGTAGTTGTACCAACCGTACAGATGTTAGAACGGATGCCAACATCATTATTAACGTAAGCGATACTAAAAGTTGGCTAACTACGTGTTCTGACGTATTTATCTGTAAAATTGCATCTAAACAACTTACCATAACGGTACCATGCATTTAGTAGGAACATGTCTATGCACAGGTCTCTGTAAAGTTAAACTATTGACTTTTTGCACTCATGTTGAGAGAAATATCTCGAATGATCCGACCTCCCACCCTCTGAATGCCACAATGGCTGTGAAGAAAGCTGCGGAGCTAACGAATTAAAACAACAAGCTTGCCACTTGTAATCCTACTATCTGCCCATGCTAGATTTATAGACACACAGGCTCTCATGGACCCCCTCGTGAGTGACAGTAATGATATATTGAGTGGTCTGAGTGCTTTGGACCCCCATCAGCCCCTTTATGTTCCCATCAACAAACCAAAGTCAACAGCCTGTCTTTCACAAGTACACCTGACCTATACCTTAACATGCTGTAATCCAAAACGGAAACAACACGCTAAAGATCGGATTACCTGTCACCAAATATCAGATATGTCATTGTTTGATGTCACTCTGTATTATCACAGGATTTATGTCTGGAAGGTAAAGGCATATTTTTAGTGCATATGCACTTTTGTAAATACAACTATGGCTTGGTCTCCATGGTTATTAGAAATATGAGACACGGACGCTGCGTGTGGTGGGTTTGGAAGCTGTGAAAGTCTCAGCTTCTCCATAAACACCTTTCAGATCTCCCCAACCCTTCCACTTTCTTCACTGTCCATGACTCATTCAGCCCCTATATATATACTGTATATATATACTCCGAGAGACAGACAGGTTCGTCAAGTAAGTGAAGAAGCTAAAAATATGTGATTCCTAAATGATGTTGCAAGTTTTTTTCCCAGTTTGTTACGCAATGCTAAAGCAAACCTTTACAGATTATAATGCGTTTTCTTTAAGAGGCTGCATCCAAATTCATGTACTTCACAAAGAAAGGAAAATTGTCATTTACTCACTCTCATGTTCTTTCAAACTTGCATTGTATGCATTTATCTCTCCTCTGAAACACAAAGGGAGATGTTTTGAAAGCGGTCCAATTGACATTGAACTAGGGTTAATATTGTTAGCTAAAACTATTTTTGGTAATTCAGCTTTCTTCACTGTCCATGACTCATTCAGCCCCTATATATATATATATACTCCGAGAGACAGACAGGTTCGTCAAGTAAGCTAAAAATATGTGATTCCTAAATGATGTTGCAAGTTTTTTTCCCAGTTTGTTACGCAATGCTAAAGCAAACCTTTACAGATTATAATGTGTTTTCTTTAAGAGGCTGCATCCAAATTCATGTACTTCACAAAGAAAGGAAAATTGTCATTTACTCACTCTCATGTTCTTTCAAACTTGCATTGTATGCATTTATCTCTCCTCTGAAACACAAAGGGAGATGTTTTGAAAGCGGTCCAATTGACATTGAACTAGGGTTAATATTGTTAGCTAAAACTATTTTTGGTAATTCAGATAAAGATTAAATAAAATAGAAATATTAGATTAAAAACTTAAAACTAAACAAAAATTTAAAAATGTATTAAAAACTTAAATTAACAAAATTAAATGATGCATAGGCATCTAACTGAAATTATTTTTAAGTTGAAAAGCTAAAATTACTTGGAAAAAAATTAAACTGAAATAATATTTTGGGGGGAAAAGATGATTAAAATTACTCAAATGTAAACAAAATTTAAGATAACTTATTAAACTATTTAAAAAATAATAAAAACTATAATAGTACATAAATAATACAAAAAATAACACCCCCTTGACATTCATTGTATATCCTTTGTGCTCTACAGAAGAAAAAGTCATACATATTTGGAATGACATGGGGGTGAATAATGACAGAACTTTCATTTTTGGGTGCAAGTTATCCCTTTGAATTGAGTAAGAAATTCCTGACTGTTGAAGAAGTGTGTTGTGTACTATAAATATATTTTTAGGCCTACTTAATCCACCGTTTGATTTGAACTGTGTATTTTTTTTTTTACCTTTAACATCCCCGGGTTGCATACTTCTGAATGTCAACAGATGCTCATTTAGCCAATACTGCTTTTTGCGTACTTTCTAACAGAGATGTGTGCAAATTGGGACACAGGGTCATTATCAAAACCTTGCAGAATTGTTCGAAAGAGACTTCCTTCTCAGGGCCAATCTGAAAAAGAACCCTTTATCGGAGTATATTGCTGCTGTACTAAGCTAACAAAAATTATTTTAATATCAAAGGACAGTATAACCACGATCTGATTAGACTAGACCTATAATAAAAGCCTGACCGTGCAGTGTAATTAAAGCAGCCAGGACTGTCTGCAAGTAGCCCATGCAGGGGTCTGGGTAACTCAATATGGAAAAGCTACACCCTTATCCAGCCCCACATGCATGCTGTGCCTCTTAATAATTTCTGATCATGAATCATATCTGCTCATGACAAGCTGTGCTTAAAGTGAAAATGGCTTGTAGTTCCACTGCGGAGGAGAAGTATGAGGAAGCCTTCGAGGCACTTGCTACTGCACCGGAGGCGTCAGGTAGAGTTAGCGCCTGGATCCAGCCTTGTTGTGGGAGTTTCAGTTGGGATTTTCTTTCAGTCTAATTGCAACTGGTTCAAATTCTGGCCTCAGCAGTGTGCTGAAATCTTCAGGGTTTGGGCATTTTATGGATTTTGTCCAAGAGTTGACAAACATGTCTTTTAGTTGGAGAATTTTCTGAAAACAGAAACCGTGCATTGTTTTTGCTTTTTGACTTGATAACCTTTATAAAAAGTACTGAGGTGGTACAGTGCTGGAAATTGTGTGGTACTTTGAAATATATTACACTACCATTCAAAAGTTTGGGGTTGGTAAGGGTTTGTTTTTTTTGCTTTTTATTGTTCTGAAAGAAGTTTCTTATGCTCACCAAGAATGCATTTATTTGATCACAAATACAGTACAAACTTTAATATTGTAAAATATTACATTTTAGAATGACTGCCTTCTGTTTTTATATATTTTAAAATGTCATTTAATTTTTGCTTAAAGCATCATTACTCCAGTCTTCAGTGTCACAAGATCCTTTAGAAATCATTCCAATATCCAGATTTGCTGCTCAGTAAACATTTATTATTATTATCAATGTTGAAAATGGCTGCGCTGCTGAATATTATATGTTATATATTTTGTGGAAACAATTATATAGTTTCTTGGTGAATAGAAAGCTTTAAAGAGCATTATGAATGTCCTTGCTGAATAAAAATTTTAATTTATTTTGACAGTAATATGCTACTCCACGTTATCCAATATATATATATATATATATATATATATATATATAGCGAGAGAGAGTACTGAAAGATTTTATGTTACTCCAGGGTACATAGTATTACCATGGTAGATGTGATACCTCTAATACCGGATGAATACCTTAATCATATACCATGCATTTACATGGTTCACTAAGGTACTTCAGTGAATACTGTTATACGGTTGTATTACCTTGGTACATGTGCAAAAATGTGGTAACCTTTTCACAAGTGAGTCTATCAGCAACTATGCCAAATAATTCTCTCAATTTAGATTTATCTTCCCTTTATATCAGACATGTTTGCTTATGACAGTTATTATACTACCTTTGAAATACACAGGCTACAGAATCCAGAAGAATAATGGTTTAATATCCATTTATCTGGGCACTATAGTCTATAATAATGGCTGGAATTTGTCCGGAGTGAGTGTTCACTGTGTAGAATTGTGATAAATAGATGGGTTTTAGCAACTAGCGTGGTCATACCATTAATGCTTTCGCTGTGAAGGGTGCTGTAGTGCAAATTGAGAGCTCTGAATGACAAAGATAGGCAAAAGAGGCTTCGTCCAACACCACAGATGACAGGGACTCTGTGTGACTGACAGTGGGTGAACATTTCTCCACCGCAAGGGCTGGTGAACCCACGGCTAAATATGTGCATGCAATGCTTCCACCTAATAATTAGACATCCGAATATAAAATTATCTATTCTTTGAAAACAGGCACATTGTTCCATTTAGCAGAAGCATAGTCAGGGGCTTTGTCATGAAAAATACCCCATTGATACAGCCGGAAAGTGGTTGTTCTAGGTTCAGTTCTTTTGTGCAACTCTCAGTTGTTTGTTTTACATCTTGAGTCCATTAACTGCTTGCTAATAAAGCTTGTGTTTGAGAAAGAGCTCAAACTGATTTACATATTGGTTTTGCAGGAGACAAAAGAGCTTGTGGCCATTAAGAAGTTCAAGGACAGCGAAGGTAAAAGACTGCTACAACCAAATGCTTGCTTTATTCATCCATGCAATTTACTGGTTGGAGACTTTGAATTGAACTACAATACTCTTGTGGTTACCATGACACAAAGTATAATTCACATTATTTACTCCAAGGCTCTTTTTGGATAGCTATATGTGACCCTGGACCACAAAACCAGTCTTAAGTCGCTGAGGTATATTTGTAGCAATAGCCAAAAATACATTGAATGGGTCAAAATTATCGATTTTTCTTTTATGCCAAAAATCATTAGGATATTAAGTAAAGATCATGTTCCATGAAAATATTTGGTAAATTTCCTACTGTAAATATATTAAAACTTAATTTTTGATTAGTAATATGCATTGCTAAGAACTTCATTTGGACAACTTTTAAAGGCGATTTTCTCAATATTTAATTTATTTTTGCAGATTTTCAAATAGTTATATCTCGGCCAAATATTGTCATATCCTAACAAACCATACATCAATGGAAAGCTTATTTATTTTGAAAAATTGACCCTTATGACTGGTTTTGTGGTCTAGGGTCACATATATGCTTTACCCAATGATTGTAAAATGTTGAGCAGAATTATGTAATTATGTAAAATGTAAATACCTTTTTAAACCTGACTTGTTATTTTTCTTTTCTAACGATAAATATCAAAATTAAATGGACAAATGTTATCATGTTGATTAATGTGATGATAGATGGTTGATATCTTAGAGTTTCACAACAAAAAGACATGCGATTTGCATCCATAATACTTTAGAAGGTAATGGCACACCAAAGTGTACCTTGTTTGTGAGAAGTGCCTTTTATAATGTCATTTTACTTTGAGAGCTCCATAGCACATTTGTTTTACTCAAGAAAACAAAAGCCCCTTTTCAATCTTGCCTAACCCCCTGTGTGTTCCTGCAGAGAATGAGGAAGTTAAAGAAACGACGTTACGAGAGCTCAAGATGCTCCGTACGCTGAAGCAAGACAACATCGTAGAACTGAAAGAGGCTTTCCGTCGACGGGGAAAACTCTATCTAGTGTTCGAATATGTGGAGAAGGTCAGCGCAAAACACTTCTTTTATTTTCTTATTCGCTTGTAGTGGTCTGAACTATAGTTCAGATGACATGTTGATAGTGTCTCAGATAGTGTTTTGCTGCATATTTCAGAATATGCTGGAGTTGTTGGAGGAATTGCCTAATGGTGCACCACCTGATAAAGTACGGAGCTACATCTTTCAGCTGATCAAAGCTATTCACTGGTGCCACAAAAATGAGATCGTTCACAGGGGTATGACCGTCTCTGTGTTCTTGATAGATTGCCTTCATTTATGTAATTTAATGTTTGTTTTTATTGTGTTTTATTATGTGCTGTGTTTTTTTTTTTGTATTTGAGTTGAATTCTGTAACTTTTTAAAAACTGAATATAATAGTATTTAAGGAAGTTGTGATTTAACGGTCATTAGGAATCAGATTTGATACGATCTGTGATGTATTTTATCTATTTTTATGCCATTTTCAACATCTTTTATTTATTGATTGTGTAATCTTTGTGTACAAAATGTGTTCAACACAAATCGAGCTCACTAAGAAAATATCCATCCTTTTTATCTAATCTGCAGATATCAAGCCTGAAAATCTCCTCATCAGCTCCAATGATATCCTGAAGCTGTGTGATTTTGGTGAGCAAAGGCTTTCACTCGTCTGATTCAGGACCCTCCACCCCCATATTCACACTGATCTCGCTCACTGAATGCTTGGTCTCCTTTCCAGGCGTCATGAGTCCCGCAGTGACGTCTGAAAAAAAAAAAAAAAAGATCTGAAATTGGATTTGAGTGGAAGGGAATTAAAATGTTTTTGTCCAAATCGCACAGTACTCGGAGGTTTGAGTGACCGAGCTTATTCTCTGGAATGCAAATTTTGAGTTGATTTTGTGTCATTCCAGATATATGATTTCATAGACTGAAATGAAAGACTGGGGAAATATCACAGAAAATGACTGTGTTGGGGAGTAACTTACTCATAGTTGCAACTCTACTCTCTTAAGGTCAATTCTTGACTTATATTTGTCTTCTGCTTGGCTCTCACAGAGCTCCATATGGGAAGGCGGTGGACATGTGGTCGGTGGGGTGTACTTTGGGAGAACTGAGTGATGGGCAGCCCCTGTTTCCGGGCGAGAGTGAAATCGACCAGCTCTTCACCATTCAGAAGGTGTTGGGCCCCTTACCACCAGAGCAGATGAAATTGTTTTACAACAACCCTCGTTTCGCTGGACTAAGAGTAAGGACCTGTCTTCTTCTCTGTCCTGTTCTGTTCTGTACTTTCCTCTCCTCTGCTCTCCTTTCCTATGGCACGGATCCCAGTATTCTGAATAAGTGGCTGTCTATGACTCATGTATCGCTATGTGCCAGTGTGAAACACAACTGGCTTTGCCTTGACAGGGCTGATCACAGTACATAATATTCACACACATACGCATACACTGACACATACATTTGGACTCTTTTGGACACTCAAGTCACATTTTAAATGGTACTTTGTTTTTAGGGATGTCCCTATCAGGTTTTTTGTGTATATTATAGTCGTTGAATATTAAGTATCTGCCGATACTGAGTTCTGATCCGATACTTGTATTTTCCTAGTGCTTGGTGCACATTTCAAGTACATTGACATTATTAAAATCAATCCAATGTATACGGGGATGTGCAGAGACTTTGGGATGTGCAGGGCAGGGGCACAGATGTAAAAAAAGGGACATCTATCATCATATCTAATATTACAATTACTATATACTGTATACTATATAATAAGATACACACTATATCTTTATATATGCACACACTGTATAAAGACATTGGTAAATGTAAACATGTAACAATGATAGACATTTTTTATAATTATTAATATGGGACTACTGATATAAACTTCTTGTATTTTATATGTACATTAAGCAAATTAATTGCAACATAAAGGGGGAAAAATTGAGATAAGGTTAGAAAGCATGAAGTTTGCGAATGCCAGTTTATCAGTCAAGTCCAAAGCAAGACGGAACCCATAGCAATGCATTATGATTTTTTTTTTTAATTGCTTTTGTCGTTTTTTCAAATATTACTTTTTATGTTTAACTGAGTTTTTATTTCAGTTTCAGTTTTTATATATTTCTATTTAGTAATTCGAATGCTTTAGCCTATTGTAATGCTTTCACATCTTAATGCAATTAATCAATCACAAGTATTCCATATTTGTTATGAATTATGCGATTGTTCTGCTTTATTCTTTAGTCCTCCCTCTTTTTTAAATTTATATATGTGTGTGTTTTTGTTGCAGTTTCCTTCTGTAAGTCATCCTCAAACGCTTGATAGACGGTACCTGGGCATCATCAATGGACTCATGTTGGATTTAATGAAGGTAAAACGGTCTGCTAAATTCTTTAGAGAACAGTATTTCCTTTTGAATTCCCGTAGTTGTGATATATTTGCTGTTGATTTATTTTAAAATAAACTGCAGATGTCATATCACCCCCAAGTGCAAAGTGTTATTAAGAATGAGTTTTATTGTTCTAGTGTGGCATGACTCTCCTCTTTTCACTGTATCAGAACCTGCTTTGCCTGAACCCCACCGAACGCTTTCTGACAGAACAGTGTCTGAACCACCCGGTGTTTCAAGGCCTTAGAGGGCCAGAGCGGCCAGCTGCCCCGTCGCCCACTGCACCTCGCTCCTCAAAGAGAAAACCATACCATGGAGACAACACCATACCCAGCCGGTCAGTAATAGCTGTTTCTATGAACTAGTTAATGTGTGATTTCCAAGCCACTAGTGGCAGCAAATGGAGCTGCCAAAATGACATGTTTCGTATTCACTAATGCATGTAGGCTACGCCCCTGAATAAGCATTGTTCAAATAAACCGATAGTGCTGCACCATTGGTTGAGCCAGAATCTGACATGTTGAGCAATGTTTTAAAAGTGCCACAGGAAGTCTTTTTCAGGAAGTCAACCTGTCCTGAATAACCTACGCTGCCACTGAAATGTGAGAAAGTATGTTATAACATTAGTTCGCTGATAATATGTCTGTTTATGTTTAATGTAATAGGGTGAATCTTAATAAACGTTCTGTCATATTTCACTAACATACACTATATGGACTAAGTGTCGGGACACCTGACCATTACGCCAACAGGGACTTATCCAGTGACATTGCAATCTAAATACATAGACATTAATATGGAGTTGTTCCCCGCTTTGCTGCTATAATAAATTTGTGTTTTTGCGTGAATTTTTGCCCATTCGTTCAGTTGAGCATTTGTGAGGTTAGACACTAATGTTGGACGAGAAGGCCTGGCTCGCAATCTCTGTTCTAGTTCATCCCAAAGGTGTTTGATGGGGTAGAGGTATAGATCTTATAATATGATCACAGACAACAGAATTGTCCATAATGTCCTGGTATGCTGAAGCGTTAAGATTTCCCTTCACTGGAAGTAAGGGGCTCAGACCAAACCCTGAAAAACAGCCCCATGACTGTATTCCTCGTCCACCAAATTTTACAGTTGGGACAATGCAGTCAGGCAGGTGATATTAGGGCTGCAAAATGATTCATCGCAATTAATCACATTCAAAATAAAAGTTCATGTTGACATATTATATGTGTGTGTACTGTGTACTGTGTATATTTATTATGTGTAATTTTAATAAAATTAAAAAAAAATATTTGTATGTGTGTGTATATATATATATATATATATATATATATATATTTATATTTGTATATAATTCATGTATGTATTATGTGTTGCTTAGCTGCTGTGTTGTGTCCTTGTATGTCTGTCTGCTAGTCATTGAACTTAAATGATATATTTATACACAAAGCAATAGTCTAGGATAGAAGAATACTGTCTCTCTTTTTCAATAAAATTGATAGGCGAGCTTTCACCTCATGGTGTCTATTCAGTCATCTCAATCAGCATGTAGGTGACCAGTGCAAAAAGAAAGGTGAAGTGGGCGTATCATCCCAAAAAGCAGGCTGTCCATTTGTACTTTTGTCCGATTAGTGCCTGACAGAATTAAATCGAGACTCAGTGCAGTTCAGTGCCTTCAGTAGCATTTCCCCATAATAGCCATATGGAGACCATTACAGACCCGAGCAGCATGTGTGTGGCAGAATCTGCCTCTACTGTGCTCTGTCCACAAATATTGAGCCAGAGGACCGTATGTTCATCTGCTGTATTCAACAACAAAAGATGTTTGGTGTTAATAGAATGAGCCACTGGGGTTTTGTGCGTCTTATATTGCAGACGGACGGCAACGAGGGAAGGAACCCGAGCATCAAGAAAAGCCTTTTCCCCCTCTTTAACTCAAAGAATAGCTTAAAGCATAACTCTTCTGTCAAAGTGCTCCCTGTTGTCCCGCAGCCCATGGTATTGCTCGCATAAAACCGCACCGCTTTACCAAATAAACACATCTCCATTGCATGTCATGCTAAATGTATAGGTGTTCTATGACTGGATGTCTTTTTGTCATTATTATATAGTTGTCGTTAGTGTTATTATTTGTATTTATTTTTTTTGCCAGAGCCATTTTTCCAGATCTACGTTTAAACATTTTAATCAAATCAATCACTTGAAATGCTAATTATTTAGTCAAATTAATTTTGTTTATTTAATTTGCTCAGAAATATAGAAATACAATATACTATTGCAATATATATATTTCTAAATATATTATTATTATTATATATTTTAGTTCTTATCGTTTTTTTATATTATATTATGCTGTATTTGCTAATAAAAAATGCATGAATCATTTTACACATCAAAAAATATTATTATTAGATCATTAATTGGGTTGATGTGTAAATTTAATATATAACATTTTAATTTACAGCCAAAGTAAAACTCTTCTTAAACTGCTCTTTAAGCCGAATGCATCTTTGCACACACCACATTTTATTTATGATCTCAATAGCTGGTAGAACAGACAACAGAAACGTTGATAATGAATGACGAACCATATTAGGTCAAGATTAGGTATTTTTATATATATTGATGTAACAGATCTGGTTCTGTGTGATTTATGATTTACATCACTGCTTAAGTTTACTGCCAGCATCGCAAAAGCATCAGCATGTGTTCTGTTAGATGCATGGACCCCATAACCGTCTTTAGCAGCCAGAAATATAGAAATACAATATACTATTGCAATATATATATTTCTAAATATATTATTATTATTATATATTTTAGTTCTTATAGTTTTTTTATATTATATTATGCTGTATTTGCTAATAAAAAATGCATGAATCATTTTACACATCAAAAAATATTATTATTAGATCATGAATTGGGTTGATGTGTAAATTTAATATATAACATTTTAATTTACAGCCAAAGTAAAACTCTTCTTAAACTGCTCTTTAAGCCGAATGCATCTTTGCACACACCACATTTTATTTATGATCTCAATAGCTGGTAGAACAGACAACAGAAACGTTGATAATGAATGACGAACCATATTAGGTCAAGATTAGGTATTTTTATATATATTGATGTAACAGATCTGGTTCTGTGTGATTTATGATTTACATCACTGCTTAAGTTTACTGCCAGCATCGCAAAAGCATCAGCATGTGTTCTGTTAGATGCATGGACCCCATAACCGTCTTTAGCAGCACCTGCTCAAAGAGGATGCACGTTTTCTCATTTACCATTCTCCGAACCTGGGAAAGAGTAGGAGAAGTGGTCCAAATGTTTTCACACCCTCTGTCTTCTGTACAAAAACACTCAAATTTTTTGGTACAAAAGGTCAGAAACTGGGCACGTCCTGAAACACTCGGCTCTTTATCTATCTTCAATAATTCGTCCTCTCCGGATACAGTTGCAAAAGCTGGTCATTGGAATTAAATTCTTAAATGGTTTCCATCTTAAACAAATGCATGCCATGAACTGGTTAAAAGGGCAATATTTCTGCACGTTTCCAGTCTGCTGGCCTAATGCACGTGATTATGGGTGAACTTTTATTGTACATAAATTCCAGTGTTCAGTTGGTTTCACTGGTTTTGTGGTTTGATCTGTGTCAGGTTCCTAGTGAGGCCCAGCAAGAGCAGCTAGTGATACAAAGACCAGACAAATCCTCATCTCATCACAGCAGTCGACACCGCAACCGAGATCGTGACCGGGAACGTGACCTGGCAAGGGACCGGGAGCGTGACCGCGATCGAAACCGCGAGAGGGATCGCGATCGTGACAGGGACAACACTTGGCCGCCTGAAAAGCAGACAGATGTGCAGCCTCAGGTAAAAAAAAAAAAACCTTCAGATGAACTGATAGTAAAATCTCCTTGTTTGTTCCTATTAATTTTAAAGGTGTTATTTAATATAACTACATTAGCATCCACAAAACCGTTCTGTTTATGTCGGCGGCCATAGCCTTGTGGGTAGCGCGCTGACATATAACGCCGTTGTGCTTCGGACGTCCCGAGTTTGAGTCCCAGCTCACAGACCTTTCCCGATCCCATCCGCCCCTCTCTCTCCCTCATCAATTCCTGTCTAAAATACTGTCATATCCTAAAAAAATAGGACAGTATTTTATTCAGTATTTATCCTGTTTATTCTAAGCCCATGCTGCAGTTTTGTTGTCAGCTGCTTTAAATGCAGAGCTCTTTAAAGCAGGATGGATTCTGATTTGCTGTCAGTGATTTTATTATTTCATCTGGAAAAAAAATTGTTTTGAAAGTGACTGACTCCTCTGGACTAATTCTCACAGGATTAAGACGATTATTAAAACGTTATAGTTATCGTATTCTAGTTAGTATCTTTGGTGTGAATGGGCCTTTATGCTAACCAAGGCTGCCTTTATTTGATCAAAAATACAATCAATCCAGTAATATTGTGAAATATTTTTACAATTTTAAATGACTGTTTTCTATTTTAATCTATTTGAAAATGCTATTTATTCCTGTGATGCAAAGCCTAATTTTCAGCATTCATTACTCCAGTCTTAAGTGACCCATGATTCTTCCGAAATCATACTAATATGCTGATTTGCTGCTCAAAATCATTTATTATTGTTATCAATGTTTAAAACAGTTGTGCTGCTTAATATTTGTGGAAACCATGAAGTGATATTTTCCGAGAGAACAGCATTTATTTGAAATTGAACACATTATAAATGTCTTTACTGTCACTTTTGATGCATTCAATGCATCCTGGCTGAATTTTCCTAAAAAAACATCCTTTTTATCTTATGATTGCGCACAGACATGCATTATTAATCTTGCTTTCCTGTTGCAGAACCAGCCTCTGAAGTCCCTGCGGAAGCTCCTACACCTCTCTTCTCCTGCTACATCCAATCAGCCCCCACCTCCTGATCGCTCGGCAGAACTGCGCTTCCAGCCCCTCCCTAACCCCCCTTCCAAAGGAAACCTGAACGAGGCCAGAGGGCTCCCACCGGGCAGCGTCACCCCCAATACCAAGAGCCGCAAACCCCACAACTACCCTCTGCCAGGGCAGATCGAGTCCAGCTGGCACGTTTCCGCACTGAATCGGGCCGAGGGCGCACCATACCCAGACCAAATGGCAAACAAAGGTGGGCAGAACGGTATCGGCTTTACCAGAGCCGCCCGCGCGAGAATGCCGAACCTCAACGATTTGAAAGAAACGGCTCTTTAGAGGAGGAAGGCCCACTAGTGGCCTCTAATGTACTCGGTTTCTCCTTTTCCTTCCTGGCTACCTATGGAATGCTATTGTTAATACAGTGGTACACAATGCCACTTCTGGCCAGAAGGTGGCAATAGTTATGTCTCAGATTTGTTTTTTAAAGCATCCACATTTGATAGAATTTGTATTCTTGTTCATTACACCTGGGTTCAGTTTTCTGTTGAATATATCTTATTGACGATGATATGAATCTATGTATTTGTATATGGAAACTTAGGGATGGGGGACAACAAAAAAATCTGTGGAATTGTAAGAGCTTTAGTTTATACACAAGAGAATGTATAAATATTTAATGTGTAATAATTCTATATTTCATGGAGATTATTTAATGAATTATTGGTGTGTTAATAGTTACAATGTACAGAGTGCATTTTATGGTTGTAACAAAAGTACTTTATTGTTTCTGAATTATTTTCCTCTCTTTACTGAACATTGTTTTCTGATATGAATTCTCAGTGCAGACTAGGTCTATATTCCACACTCATACTGAATCATCACTATTTAAAACATACAACAGCATATCAGCAACTACTGATGCTTCCTAACCAGGTTCTGTGTTACTTTTCATGCGAGACCATTAAATCCACGTCCCATGATGGCTATTTGTCTCACTTTACCCGTAGCCCGTGTCTTACAGTGTTTCTCCACTTCCCATGAGCTTGGCATTCAAAACCTCAAACATTGGGATCAGATAGTGCTGGTTTTTAGCAGGAGTTCATTAGAGCCTAGATCCCTGAAGAGCTGGATTTCCTGTGAATAATGAATTTCAACTGAGGCCCCCGGGGCCTCACCGTGTCTCCCTCTGCGATCTAAACCCCACCAGCTGGTGAATAAGTGTGACTTTGCCTGTGGCACAAGCGATGGCTTACAAGGTTGTGTGAGTTAAGTCTGTATCTCCATCCCGACGTGTCTTTTGCACGTGCGCATGATTCTTTTAACAAACCGAATAACTGGTGGGTTTAGTTTAACGGCATGTTTTTGAAGAGATAAAAGCATTGCCTCAGGACCTGGTAAAAAGGTTTCAAAGATGTAATGCAGTTATTGATCTGTTAGCGGGGAGGTCAGGTGGGAGATGCAATGAGATTTTTGAGCGGCCTCTGAAATGCAGCACATTTTCATTCAGGCTTTCAGTGTTTGTTTTAGATTTATTCCATTGTTTCGTTAAATTCTATTCTACTAATATAGATTGAAATGAGATGGGTACAAAATATGCAAAATAGCTATATTAAGAGTTCCAGGCATTTGAATACCAATGCAAACAGAGCAATATATCATGACTTTGAGGTGAATTCATCATCCTTCATAGAGTTGCTTTGGAGTATTACCATTTTTATTCATCCACATATTCATCATTTTAATAACTCTAGTGAAATGTGTCCTTGAATTTTTTTCCGGTAACTTTTTTTTTTTATTAGTATTGTTTGTCAACGGTGCACTTTAAACAGACATTTCACAGGTGTTTGTGTTGATGAACAAAGAAACTTGTCTCTTCATCAAATGGGCTGGCATATTGTATGTAGTGGTTTGCATCAACAGATTGCTGGGGAAGTTGAATTGAGTTAATTGCATGCACTGAACCATTAACTGGGTCACAGAAGGTGACCATCCGGCTTTATAATTAGGGATCATTTGGCAATTTCTCTCTTTTTTAACAGACAAGGGTCGGACTGGGATGTGAACAATTTCAAACTAGCTTTCAGCAGCAAAGGGAGGAGCTTTGAGATGAAGGGCATTAGATAAGGCCATTAGTGCTCTGTGGATTACAGTAATCCAGCCCCTTTAATATCAGTGCGGTGGTCCACCACTCGAAAAATAAACCATCATGGAGTACAGACTGCCGAACATGTTACTGTTAGCCATCCTGCTGGTGTCCGAAGGTATGTGTCAATTTCACAATAGTAGCAGAAATGTTCAATTTAATCAGATTTATTTTGGATTTAATCAGATTTCATTCTTGATTAAAGACAAAGAAAAAATGTTAACTTCAAATAAAGATGATAGTGAATGTTAAATGTTAATAAAAGATATCACACCTGAATTACAATTTCTTGCTCTTTTTCTCTTCCACATTTTGTCCAGTTTTTTTTGGGCTGCAAGCGCAAGAGGTAATTAAATGCATTTGATATTGATACCAGAGACAATTAAAAGTGAAATATTGATGACAATGTTCATATGTGCTTAGGATGGCGAGGGCAACGACACATGGGCTGGGAAAACCTGCAAGTGTGACTGTGATTCCTCTAGCAAGTTGCTTTCCAAAGGTTCTTCATCAAGTAGGGGACAGGAGATGGACTGCATTCCAGGTAAGAAAGAGAAAGAGATTTTAAGAAATATGAATTCAAAGAATCACATTGCTGTTTTTTTATTTTCCAAACTGTAATAAGCACTTATCGTAACCTGAATGTGAGGGTTTGTAGGCTTTGTCCTGGTTTGGACTCCACTCTGCCACTATGAAGTATTTTGGTTCACAATGTGTCAAACAAATATATAATGAATCAGCTTTCTTCTAGATAGTGTTTTTTTATTGGCTTTATTGTGAATCAAATACAACTCAAATCCGTTTTGTCAGGAGAGCGAAATTTGTGAATGGGGCTTTGCGCTAAATTTGACTCTTTGGGAACTGAGATGGATGGATTTAGTTAGCGCTAGCTGGTGCCCTTTGGAAACAGAAGGCAGGACATGTGCGAATGAGCTGGCTCCCGGACAAGCCCTCGCCTGCAGTGGCACAGAAAGTCATTAATCATTTGGTTGCAGCTTCACCTGGGCCATTGGCACACCACCACAGGGCAGACATGCTCCATTAACACAGAGCAGCTTGCTTGCTCAGTCCTCAGAGACTGATGTGTTAGAATCAAATGAAAGGGAGGAAAGTTGAGGAAAAAAATAAAGACTGAGCAAGAATCAGAGATGGACCGGATGCTTGTTCATAATCCCATTATGTTGAGAGTTCACGAGATTACCAAGACTAGAAGAGGACCTGCCAATCAAACTGCATTGACCATTAAAAGGAATCGTTCACCCAAAAAATTAAGATCATTTATGACATTCCAAATCTATATGACTTACTGTGCAAGAATGTTGGGAACCAAAGAGTTGCAGTTCCCATTGTAGTTTTTGACCATGGAAGTTAATGGGAACCAAAACTGTTTGGTTACCGATATTCTTCAAATGACGATGAGCAAATTTAAATTACATTTTTAGGGTTTAAGTGTTCTAACTTTCTCGTTAAGTGTTGATTTTTTTTTAAAGAGAATTCATGATTTTGATTCAGAATGCATTCATTTTCATTTGATTTGATCAAAACCGGAAGTTGGCATGTCAAAAAAACAATCCTAAATCCTGGAAAAGTGGGACTGTTATGTAAAAACACTGCTGTAGGACTGGAGCTTAAGTGTGGAACTTGACCATCTGTCAACCTAAAGTCTTAATGGATGTTGATCTTTCACTATGGGGAACTAAAGCTTTTGGGATTGCGAAGTCACGAGCAGAAGAGTGGAAGCACGGAATTACAGATCTGCCAGATTAATGCTTTGTCCGTTTCTCTTTAACACAACACGACAAAGAAATCTCTCTGATTGCGTGACTAATGTTTCATTAAGCCCCCTGTCAGACATTTTAGAAATCCTGCAGGCTTTTGTTGAATATTCCTGTTCATAGAGTTGTGTTATTTGGAACTGCCTGTAGAGTCAGAAAGCCTGGTTTGATCCAAACTGACAGAGGTGCATATTTATAGTTTTACTTCAAATTATATGCAAAGCTAAATATTAACCACATTCTCAATTTACTGTCCAGAGTGTCCCTACCATAAGCCCCTGGGTTTCGAGGCAGGATCGGTGACTTCAGATCAGATCAGCTGCTCTAATGAAGACGAGTACACAGGCTGGTTCTCCTCATGGGTTCCAAGCAAAGCAAGGCTCAACAACCAAGGATTTGGGTGAGTTCTCTGAAATATTGCTAATTATGGCAGCTGTTGAAACAGAAGTCATGAGTTTCAGTTAAAAGTGTCAATTGGATTTTTTTTTTTTACTATATAAGGCTAATGTGCATTAGCATGATTTTTAAGTATGAATTTATTTAGTACTGACAGATTTACAGATTTTATTGCAGATTCCACATATCTCAAACTCTTTCATAACCATTGAAATAATATTACAAAAAAACTCGTAAATATATATAAATAAAGAATTACACTACAGTTTAAACTTTTGGGATCATTATGATTTTTAAAATAAATTATTACTTTTATTCAGCAAGGACATTAAATATTGTAATGATTTCTGAATTATCATTTGTCAATGAAGACTGGAGTAATGGCTGCTGAATATTCAGCTTTGCCATGATAAATTACATTTTAAAATGTATTAAAATAGAAAACAGTTATATTAAATTGTAATAGTTTACAGTATTACTGTTTTACTGTATTTTTGATAAAATGAATTAAAATAGAAAACAGTTATTTTAAATTGTAATAGTTTACAGTATTACTGTTTTACTGTATTTTTGATCAAATGAATGCAGCCTCTGAGAGCATAAGAGACTTCTTTCAAAAACTTTAAGAAATCTTACAAACCCCAAACTTTTAGTGTAGTATTATTGAAACAATCTTAAGGAGCCTTGGTCTATGCGATCTGTGATTTTCTTTTGCATTTATAGATTATTCTCTCCTCTCCTAGGTGTGCCTGGCTGTCTAAATTCCAGGATACCAACCAGTGGCTTCAGATTGACCTGAAGGAGGTCAAAGTGGTTTCTGGTATCCTGACCCAGGGCCGCTGTGACTCTGATGAGTGGATTACTAAGTACACTATGCAGTACCGCACCAATGAGAAGCTCAACTGGATCTACTACAAAGACCAAACTGGAAACAACAGGGTAAGACGACAAACAGCCCATCCTGGAATAATAAGGATTGCTATTCCTTTTAAAGTATTGCATAAATATTGTTTTTTCCTCAGGTGTTCTATGGAAACTCTGACCGATCTTCCACAGTCCAGAACCTGCTGCGTCCACCTATCGTAGCACGTTACATCCGCATCCTCCCTCTCGGCTGGCACACTCGTATCGCCATCCGCATGGAGCTGCTACTTTGCATGAATAAATGCACCTGATCTGGAACATGTCAGCAAAGCCATACCCAACTACTTCCTGTTCCACCTCTTTTCTTGTGTCACAATATGCCAAAGTGAATATCATTGCCCAATCACTGCACTCAATTCATTTATTTTTCAAGTAAGAAATGATCATTAGCATGTGTTACATTTATTTGTGTTCAATGTTACATATAAAGCCATTTTTTCATGTTATGTTGTATTCATTATATGAAGTTTGTTGCTTTGGCAAATCAGACTTAAAGGTTTTGCTTATCTGGAGAGAGGTGGGAGATCTCATGGAGTGTTGTATTATTGTGTGTTCTAATGTGGTTTGTGATGGTTATGTAGCATGTTTCATTCCCACCGTTTTGACCAAATCCCTTTTTGTATTTACTATGAGCCTACATTGTTTAATTGTGTTTGTGCACTTACCTGAGAAACAATGCCTTTAAATAAAGGAAGTCTCTCTGTGTACCTTGTATACTTTGGTTGTATAATCTATTCACTCTCAAGTTGGACAAAAATGATCAAATATAACAAATATTAATATATTAAAAAAATTGTAGTAAGGGGGGCATGTGGTAAAGGCCCTTAGTGTATCAATACACGCATGGGATGATCCAATGTATTATTAGAGGAAATATAATTAATTTGCTAATACTAAATTTACATTTTATTTCAAATGAAGTAATCTAATTTCATAAAAATACATCTGATATAGCTTTTAATGATTCACTTGTATATAAGATAATTTAATTATACTCAAGTAAAAATAAGTAAATAAATAATAAATTTTCCCCCAATGTCTAAATTAATTACTGTGTCCATGAATTAGGCTTTACGTCAACAAACATAAAAACATGATATTCTGTTATATAAGTTTCCCAGAAAACTGTACATTAACTATCAAATGACATCTTCTAAACTGTTCAGATTAACTAAATCTGACAAATGCTGATTAGAAAATATGCTCTTGCTACAAATTTTTGAGTCGAGTGCGTGCACATGCGCTTCAAGTCAAATTAAGGAGGCATGCACCTGCTTGTTAGTCATTAGGGGATTGATTAGACATACCTTAAATTGTAGTTTCGCTTCAGCGACTGTTGTTTACACACTCTTCTGATCATCATGAAAGCGCCTAGCCTTAAAAGCAAGCGCTGCACGTCACCCAGAAGTTCCATATCAAGAACCAGAGGACACGCTGCGTTCAGGTACACAGTCCGACAACAGGTGTGTTTTATAGATCCAGTAACTATAACTAAAGAACAAACGTTGAAAATGTACGTAAAATGATTGCATATGAAAACAACTGGCTTCGTCAATCAGACGGCAGTGGGACGCGTTCACGAGTCCACGGGCGTAAGCAGATATTTGCTGCAGAGAGTGGGGTCAGAGGCCGCGCGTCTCTCGTGTTTCAGCCGCTACAGAGCCATCACGCGGAGGGAGATCCTGGAGGCCTGGGATCAGCTGAGACGCCGCAGAAACTCCGCTGCACTGGCAGGCGCTTGAGTCTTTTTAATAGACGCTTTTAATGTATCTATTTTAATGGATCTGTAAATATTTAACTGTTGAAATAAAAGCCTTTTGTTAAAATGGTGAGCCTTTGTTTATTATAGTGTATGCTGGCTTGTGACCTAATCCCCCCCCCCCCGCCAAAACAAAATCCAAAAATGGGTGGAAACCCTCTGCTTAAGAGGATAAAATGGTGCCCAAGCATGACTTTAAAACACTCAGACCCCCTTGGAGAGGGTATTCCTCGTTTTCCCTGCTGATTGCTCCTATTTTGCAAAACATGCAGGTCTACACAACACCGTGAATAACACACTTGATTTGATTACGGGACCGTGCAGATAGGTATGACATGCTGTTGGTGACCAAAATGTATTTAAACGAACCTTCTTCTTTTGATGTTTAATAGCGGTTGGTAAACCAGATTTTGGTGCATATTCCGCCACCTACTGGGATGGAGTGTGAGGCGATATCAAGGAAATGCTAATTCAAAAAAAAAATTCTTCTACCTGTATTTTATTATATACATTTGTTCTTTTCAGAAAATTAATAAGAGCTTTATAACCTTTTATGAGAACTGTTTAACACATTCTATGTTATATAATTCATGCCGGCAGATTTTAATTCCTCTTTTAAAGGGGTCGATGCGATTTAAATTTGTCCTTTCTCTTTGGAGTGTTACAAGCTCTTGGTGCATAAAGACGATCTGCAAAGTTGCAAAGACTAAAGTCTCCAATCCAAAGAGATATTCTTTATAAAAGTTCAGAGTCAACCACGCCTACCTCAAACGGCTCGCAGAGTAGAGTTGTCACATGTGGTTGCCGCAAGCCCGCTCAACGCTCCTTCGTCGAATCTTCCGGCCGCGCCGTTCTCAAGCCTGCCCCCTGCCGATCACTCAAGCCCGCCGCCCTCCGCTCACTCTAGCCTGCCGTGTGTTTCGTTGTGAAAGTGAAAC